TTGGCTTTTTGCATTATTTTGCGCGATGTGAAACCGTGTATTTTACAGACCTACATTATCAATAATTTTATGCTACATTTATAGTTCGACCAGTGTTGATGCATATTGACAGACAGAAAAAAAATCTATTTGAACCGTTTTTAGGAGATATACAAAATCAAATCAAAAATTCAAATCATTAGCAGAATGTAATAGGCAAATAATTAAAAAGGATAATTGATATATAATCCAACAAAATAAAAAATAAATACTAAGTGGAAACTGGAAATTTATGCTGCATAGCTGGTAAATGTATATAATCATCATGTAATTACAAACTCGATAACATGATGAATACATTTTTGACACATTGTTTTAAATTACATAAATTTATCACTAATTTGTTAATATCAACAATTTATGAGAATTAATCGTTGAGCATGTGTTGCAGTGACATATTATTTTTACTCTGAGACAATAGAAATTTGAGAACACATAATATTATCACCTAATTTGAAAATTCCATAATACATCCATGGGAGGAATGTTGGAAATAAATATTTACAATTTATGGCATAAACAGAACATACTTTCTAATATCATATGCTAATAATATAACTCTTAATATAATTAATTCTACGAGTCTAACATAATGGATATCTATTATTTTGATTAAATGTAGTAAATCGATAGTATTATTAACAATCAATGTGGAAATGCACACATTTGAAAAAAAAAATCTATTAAGCCTTCAGATTATGTTAAATGCATTCAATATGAGTCGAAAATGAACAAATTCATTATTGCAGTATGGCTTGCCCAAAATGATTTACCTCAATTAATTATATATATATATATATATATATATATATATATATATATATGTATATATATATATATATATATATATATATTTATAAAATATATATTATCAATATCATACTTATGTATATTATGTTTGCATTTATAAGTTTAATTCAGATTAAAACATTTTGAACAAATCCAATCAATATGAAAACAATGAGCTGAGAAAAAAGTGATTTAAATACTGCAAATACATTTATAATAATATTTTCAGTTTGATCCGAAAACAATCATTACCTTTAGGACAGATTAAACATTTTTTCAAAATTTTACATCAGTGTTGCAAAAATTCATTTTCTTGTTGCATAATTTGAGCAATTACTATTAACAGTATATTTAACAGTAAACTTGCTTGTTTACTTTGCTTATGCTGTCTCAGCTATTAAATTGAACAAATGAAACTTCAGCAGTATAATATCCATATTTTGTCACATATAAAATTTTAATCCTTATATTTCAAAAAGTTATCAATTATGGAACTTAGTTGTGATTGTATATGGTGTTTATGATACAAAATAAGACATATTATACATAATTACTTCGTTATTATAATTTATTGTTCTAATTTGGCACACCTTTAGTAATTCTTAATTCATGAATGCATTTTCTTAAAATACAAATGATGGTGTGTTATATTGAGACCCTTGACATACACACATGTTTAAAGTGGAAGTTGGAAAAGCTTTCTTTTCGTAAACTTCCACAAAATGCTTGTATATGATTATCTGATATATGCATACATTTGTCAACCCATAGCATGCACAATGCTTTTAATGTGAGAATATATAAAATGCCTCTGCATAATGTCATGAAATAAATGCTGAAATATAATATTCTAACAAATGTTTTGCATGAAAGTATATAGAGCCAAGCCTCAATAATTCGAACATTTAATAACAAATTCACATTAAATATAATTCAAAATAATATTTTTAATGGATTTTCTATATCTTCTAATATTTATGATGTTATTTCAAACTATCATAAATCTTTCTCTTTGCTGTTCATATGAAATATAATCTATTGACAAATTGCTTTACAACACTGTAATATATGCAACAGCATTTTCATTATATCAATATCATCAATATAGGTGTTCAACTTATCGAGGCTTTAAGGGCATATGTGTTCGCACCAATATATTAATGTTTAAACATGAAATCACATATATTTAACACAACAAAAAGTATATGAAAATAATTGCATTATTTTGCTATTTGCGCTATACAATGTTTCCTCACATTTTAAAATATCAATGTTATCTCCAAATAGAATAGACAACTTAGTAAAAGATTACCACCACAATTCAAAAAATGTTCAATATATTGTTTAGCTTTTTTCGCATTCACGATTTTTATCATTGGCAAATTTTATAAATCACTATTTATGAGCTAATCTACATTTTATGTTGATCCTCTTGTTTATGCATAAATTGCATTATCGAATATTGCAAAACAATATATTCTCACTAACAAAATAAATAGTTGAGCAGTGCCATGATTCACTGTTAGAGGAGAATATCACTTCGCTATCATACTAAATTTGGACAGTGTTTCTGTTGCCCTTGGACCCTCAATATATAGGGATGATATTACAATCCCAAGCACAGAAAATGCAAATTCTAAATAGCGTATCTTTTGAATTGTATTGGTATTAACTTATAGAAATATATGAAATCTGAGTATTACTGAGAAACATTGATTTCACTAGTTTGTTGGTAATACTTCATACCTCATATGATCATATTACCCATGCCATAACTAGATGATTGATTACATTCAATTTACAAACAAAAGTCTCAATCAATAGTTTAGCATTTTGAAATTTTATTCCCTCTCACCTTATGCATTGAATAATATATATCAGATGGGCATGAAGCAGTGCCATCCTTTGGATTCTGATTGCGCCTGTGTAATTATAAATATGCTTGTTAATAAAATAGTTAAAAATTCTTGGCAAAACTATTTTTAAAATATTTTTGGTATAATTGTAAATCGATTTCATAAATTTATTGGATAAATTAAATGAATTAATCTATCTTATCTACAAATAATGAATGTTAAAAATGCAATATAATGATAGTTAAAAAACTTTAATACTATTTTAAAGCCTACACAAGCTGTTATATCCAATATGTTTTTACTACAATTGAGCATTTTACATAACTATATATAATTCTTAGTATATAGTAATTATACAATAATACTAACTTTAGTTTTCATAAGAGAAAATTGAAAATTCAGTGAAAATCTCTATTTTATTTTGCTTGAGATTACAAGCGCAATCTTTTTCTAAACTTCTTGAAAAAGTTTTTCGAAGTTATTTGCAAAAGCATTAAAAAATGATTTAAGAGTAAAATGGAATGTTTGCAACTCGCAAATACAGTTTGAAAGTAAAATATATTAGTAGTATTTTTTTAAGAGCGTGGTATATATTTTGGATAATTTACTACTGATTTCCATTTAGACTAATAACCAGCCAGTCAAAATACATTATAAAAAGGTTTGCGTTCATAGTATAAAATTCTTTAACTGTTTTAAATAAAAATTGATTAACAGGACTTTGCACTAATATCTATGTTCTTGACTGTTATAAATAACATTTCAACAATGAAAATCACTGTTAATTCAATTATTAAACAAGCCCTAAAAATAAACAAAATTAAAATTGTAGAAGTTAAATAAATTTAAACTTGAGATGGCCGGTGTGCTCTATGATTAATCGAAGAAAAATCATAAAGCAAAAATGTTAATACAATTATCTGTCTTGTTTATTTAGGACAGTAATAAAATAATTATGGCGTAATCACAATATAGCTGAATTTAATACATATTTGAATATTATATTAAAATACAAGAAAAACATAAAAAACATGAATAATGAAATATTTATAATAAAAAACGAATGGGATCTATTTTTAAAAAATCACGTAGAATGCATTGAATGTTTTGGTAACTACCATATAAATATCATTGAGTTCATAAAATTAGAAAATTTTATAAACACTAATTCATTTATTTAAATGTAAAGTTATTTAGGAATTGTCTAAAATTATTCTGAGATTTCATAGTACTTTTAAGTGGCACGGCAGAATCTACCTATTAAAAAAATCTATAAAAACGAATTATGTAGAAAAATCACGATTATACGATAGGTAACAACAACTCGCATACTAATATTTTGTATTCTAATTTTGAACACGATATTTTCTTTTACAACACTTTACTGAGCAAGAACTGACGAAAGACACAAAGAAACCTGGCGCGACTATTCCAACGACTTACCAATAAAAATAAAACGATAAAACTGTGGACTAATATTTGTTACCTATTATGTGACAAAAATGTTTTAGAAAAAAGTTAATCCTAATTGAAATTTTCAAAAAAAATAACTAAGAATCCAATGAACACTTATGTTCTACAATGCGTCGAAAACTCTAAAACCGAGATAAAAACATTACTACTTCACTGCATTAAAAATAAATACTTTTAATTTTAATAAATTATAATAACATTAAAGAATATAATGCAGACAAGTGAATAATTTTTAATCTGTCGCACCTGGATAATTGTGTCTCATCGCCTAAATATAGTCGTCGATTATACTTCGTTCGTTCTCATCGCGTTTTCTTAAACATAGACGTCGATTCGGTATTATAGGTATGTTGTGGTATTTAATATCATTATGTTAACACTAACATTTATACGGGTATTATTTATAATACTACGTATATTACGATAGAAAACTTTACAACCGCTCGGTGACATATATCTTGCTGTCGTTACGCGCGTGTGTTCGTCGGACGGCGAACGATATCAGGATGGCCAGGGCGATCAGCGTCAATCCCAGGGCGTTCATCACGATGCCCTCCTCAGGCCAACTCGAGTACTCGGATCTGTGGAAATAAGCACATGAAATTGTTAAAATAAACTAACAACAAAATTGGCAATAACAAATACGTATCGCAGGTTGATGAGGGGAAAGAGTTATACATAGTAATTAATGATAATGGGATTGGAATAAAACCAACGTGAGACTTCATCTGTCTTATAGAAATACAATTATGAGAGTACACATTTTACCTAGAAAATCTGTTACAACTCGTATAAATTAGTTTAAAAAAAGAGTGCGCGTAAGGTTCACACGCGATTGAAGTAAAACTTATTTGCTACTGTACAAGATGGCATTTAAGTCAAAATAAATACATCATATAACCATTTTGAATAATGTTTATTAGTAATATGGTAACACTCATGATGCACACATTTACTAGTGTCAACCATTATACACATTTATACAATGATAAATTATAAATTATATATTTATAATAGCATTAAAAATATGTATAATATTTAAAAACAATAATGTAATTAATTACTTCATTAATTACTTGTCATACTTCAAATATGACATGATCGGTTTGTCATTGTAATTAGCATTTAGAAATGAACTGAGAGAAATGATGCTGATTAATAACTTCTATAATATTCGTTCACAAAGTGGATTATGTTAAACAACGCCCGAACAAATATTGTTTTCGCAACTTCACTCATCGTGTAATTGTGTTTGAAGAACTTCATGTAATTAAAATTAACATACATTCATTGACTAAATCTCATTCTTTGAACAGCTGTAATATCTGTCTTGCATAATTTTTTTTTTCTATTTTAATAACTTCAAAGATTTATAGAAACTACGAATAATATAGAAATAATTTCTAATCAAATAAGAATGAATTCTTCCGATTCATGCATTTTTCATTAAATCAAGATTTGTACTACGATGTAACTCATCGTCTAATTGTGTTTGAAGAACTTCATGTAATTAAAATTAACATACATTCATTGACTAAATCTCATTCTTTGAACAGCTGTAATATCTGTCTTGCATAAACTTTTTTTTCTATTTTAATAACTTCAAAGATTTATAGAAACTACGAATAATATAGAAATAATTTCTAATCAATAAGCTTACGTTTAGTACACGGCACGATTGTTTAATTTGTTTTATTATTTTCAAGGAACAGGGTAAAATATTCTTCTGATTCATGCATTTTTCATTAAATCAAGATTTGTACTACGATGTAACTTTAAAATGTTTATTTATCTATGCCGATTTCCTTGTTGATATCGGTATGCATACTACGTTGATGCCGGTACGCATGCAACGACAGATTTCTATTAACATACACGATGACCAATCACAATCGACCCGTATTGAAATGCTTTCATCGAGAGCGAATGACGTACAGGTCGGGCGTAGCGCAATGTCCGTTGCATTTGTACGGATTTACACCATAGTTGCGCCTAAAGAAGTTTTACTTCAAAAAATGATATCGTAATCTAGTTATGATTATCGTTAACGAGTTGCAGCTCAGCAGCTCAGTAGGATTAGTTAAAATATTAAGTAGAATTTACAATTTCTTTTCAAATAAAACTGTTACCATCATAATTCCAGATAATCAGAATTATGGTTATCAGAATTGGTTACTATAACCAAAGTTGCAAATAGTAGTATCAACTCTTACATGTAAATAGTGCTGTTGCACCACAATGCATTTTTCTATGTTAATATGATAAGCAATGTCAATATCAATAAACTGCATTCGATTACCATATAGATAACTGTGGTAGTAAAATTGCAGCTAATTTGTAAAATGATCGAAAATGAGAGTTGTTGGATGTAATTTAACGTGTTTTGGTACCATATGAGTACAGTGAAATTTTCGAAGCCTTAAGATTTTTAGCACACATGGTTTGTTTCTGAAATAATGATTTTCTTTTTTACAGATAGTTTCAATAATATTTTAATTGTATATCATTGTGTAATTTTGTATATCAAGTTTTACTATTATACATGTATTATAGTAGCGGAAATACGGACAAAATGACCTGGTGTTTTGGTTCTTTAATGATATTTATTTATTTATTGATATTATAATCAGTCTCAATCGTTTTTGCTCATCTTAGGTTAATGAATACGAGAAACACCGAAAAAAGTATTTATTAAGGAAAAATGCAACTAATTGCAAAAATCATTGTGTCCACATAGAACGGACAAAATAGCATATTAGAAGAGGGCATGCTGAGATTTTTCAGAAAGTCAGTTCACAAATAAATCATTTGGTACTCTTTAGGACATCAACACATAAATCATAAGCCCAAGAAGAAAAATTAATACACCATAACCAATCGTCGCCGGGTCCAGAATCTCAAAAAGAGATCTTGGGAATAAATGCAAGTCTCGTCTTGTTACCGGTGGATCCTTTATTCTGTTTTTAGAAGTAATTCGAGTAAAAGTTAAAAGCCAATAACCTTTGAAAAGCTTAATTTTTTTTCTTGGCTTCCAATAAACTACTGGAAAATTTTTGTCCGTAAGTGAACAAAAAAAGAATAATTAATCAAAGTTTCATAACACACCTGATAGTTTCAATAAAATTGATAAAACTTTCGAACTGTAAAAATGATGCTCAACATCCGACAGGTTTGTGATTTTAGCTTTCTTCATGTTGTACAGTCGAGGAGAAGTTAATAAATCCAACTAACTCATATATATTATTTTACCCGTAATTCCTCTACTATAACTCTTTAACATTGATGAGTATTTTATTATTGTTTGAACGTAAGAATGAATTTAACCAATGTTAGTTCATCAAAT